GATCTCCAGCTATGCTGGTATATAAAATACTGTTTTCTATTTCTGAACCTTAATGTATCAAAGACTGATCAACCATCAAACAAAACTAAACAATGTAATCAAATTGGACGTTTAAAAGAGCGTACATATAGGACATGACATGTAATTTGTGATAAGAAGATCAAGACATGCCCTTAGTTCAATTGTAACTTTTAAGGGAGAACTTGTTCCATGTATTGGCAGAGGAAAATTATATGATGTACTGTAAAATTTGATCAGAGATATTGTTTGTGAACATTTACAACTTGACAGTCTCTAACCATTAGAAAGAGGGAGGAATCACTAACAAAATAACTCCTCAACAAGTCCATACAATATTAGATCTTCAACTTGACCAACAATATGATCAGCCTCTTCCACACAAATAAAATTTAGCCACCCCATATCCCAATTAGTATTCACCGTTATATCTTTGCATCTGAGATCCCTCTCTAGTATCACATAAACGCTGTCTTTTAAACCGACACCTGCACCATTTTTTCTATGATCGATAAGTTTCTCGATCCCATAACTGATTTCGTTCACCAACTGATCAAGAGATACAACTGCCAAATTCCATAAGCTACTTCGCAGCATATGATAATGATTTGCCATCGCTTGTTGGCGTCTTTTTCGAGCCATTAGTTCCTTTGCGCAATCTAACAGAAGATCCGCATTTTCCGTTCCAAGCTTGAAAGTTCCTTTGGTTTGTTGGTTTGTAGTCTGATGGTCATCAAATCCAAAGAGCTTGTATGCATGGCTGATAAATGACTGGGTGTTCAGAAGCAATAGTTGTATGTCACACTCTTCTACTTTAGCTTTTGTTTGGATAATGGCTTTGCTATTTGGAGCCTCTATAGATTCTTCTGGTGGTTTTGAGGTTCTCTCACATTTGCCACTATTTACCATAACTTCGTTAAAGAGCTTTGTGTCTTTCTTCTTGCATCCTGTGACCAGTGAAGGGATGTAGTTGCTATGCTTTTTTATGTCAATAAGAAAAGGGTTTTTAATCTAGAAACCACCATAAAAATAGGGTAATTATACGGAAACTGCCTTTTATTTTCAATTTATGCATAAACCACCTTCAAAATAAGTTTTTGTTGCAATCAGCCACCTCCAGGTCAATTTTTCACCAAAAAAATTAAAAGTACCCTAACAATTTCAAGTTCAATGTACGTGAGTTGTATTGTAACAAACCTGAACACTAAAAGAACAAATCACAAACCTTGAATATGAGTTTTTTAGGGGTAATTGTGGATTTTTAGTGAAAATTTTGACTGAAAGATGGTTGATTGCAACAAAAATCAACTTTGAAGGTTGTTTAGGTATATATTGAAAATGAAATGTGGTTTTCATATAATTACTCCATGTTTAAGGTGGTTTTTAGGGGGGAAAAAAGCCAATTTTCTAATTTTCATTCACCTAGTGAGAACTTTATTTAGTAGCTACGTGACAAAGAAATTGCTTTACAAAAGATGTAAGTAGGCTACCTCTGTTGTAAGGTATCGAATTCTTCTTCGCTTTTTTCGCTGGTGCATCAGCAGGCAAATTGCGACTTTTATTTGTTACTTTGACATCCTTACATTTTACATTACAAGTCTATGACAAGATGGACAAAATGCACAATGTTAGTTTAGGCCGAAGAAATTACACAGTCTATTCAAGAACAAGCACTAAAAAATACAATGTACGCACAATTCAGAAGCAGAATCAAGGAAAATAAGAGAAAATGGACTTACAAATGCTTTGATGTCCATGGATTTCGTGACAGGCTTAGCTTCTCCCGACTTCTTTACCTTCGCAAGGTTAGTAAAATGTTGAGATGTGGGTTTTCTAGTTAAAGTTTGATTGTGCTTTCTTGATGCATTTCCTCCTTTACAAGCAATGGCTTGATTGTTTGGAGGGACATTTTTAATGATCCTTCTGTTATCAGACTTGGCTGGTGATCTAGAAATAAGAGTGGCCCGAGATTTTGGAGTTGCACTAGTTTTCGACTCCTTGTTTCCAGCTTTCCTTCCATGCACTTGAAGCTTTGGACCCGCATCGTCTATTTCACTTGAAGCAACATTTTCAGTCTGTAAATATGACGTGACATTATTCCTCTTCGCATTCTTCCCTTCTTTTCGCTCAAATTCTCTGGATAACATATCTCCATTGTTACAAGCTATCTCTTCTGGATTCAAGTTTATCGCCCTCGTCTTTACTGAAACGAGAGCATCATCAGACTGAGGAGGCAACTGTGGAGATCTCACGACGGCATTGATTTGAAATCCATTATCAAAATGATGGCCAGAAGATGACGTCCTTCTACGGCCTTTGACTTCATTGCCCTTGAGTAATTCATCAGATTTCACAATCTCAACAACACCCTTCACCGATTCTGTTCTTGCTTCTGTTTTCTTCTCGATTGATGGCGGCTTCCTCGTATTGGACAGTTCTACAGGAAGGAGGGGTCTTGGCTGAACTAAACACTCATTAACCTTCTGTTCCTTTCTTGTAAATTTGCTAGACTCTGAAGGGAGCTCTTCGAGGCCCATGAGCTTCGCAATCAAATTCGACCCTTTCGCCTTCTTGGGCTGATCACTGCTCATCAAGAATCCAAGAGATCGACCCGAAGAAACTTTCCCATCCGCCCCGGAAGCAATTCCGGGGTCTTGATTAAAACTGCTCTCTGTCATCACTTTCTTCAACTCATCAACGTAATGGAACAGAGAGCCACCCGTAGCGATCCTCTCGAATCTCGCGGAATCCTTTAACCCAAAACCAAACTTCACTCTTGATGCCTCTCGAAGATTCCTAGCTTTGATCAACGACTCTTGGAGATCGAAAACCGCTTCTCGTTAGAGTCTTAACAACTTCTTCTGTTTGTTCGTCAGAAATCTGCGTCTCCGGCAATGAATTGACCATCTGGGTCAGTTTGTGGGCTTCTCTAGATACCTGCAACAGCTTGGCTTCGCTACTTTCATTGCCTACCATTGTGGGTTTCTGCCAGCCTCCTAAGGCATCAAATGTAAATAAATGAATAAATTAATTAACTCACGGAACTCTCAATTTTGATTAGCTATTGAAAATGCAGTGATGCACATTCCACATAAAGAATAGCAGGAAACTGACAGCAGAAATCATCCCAATGCCATTGACAAAACAAAAAAAAACTTGGAAATGGAGCCAATGGGTCTTGACAACAGAATAAGAGATGAGAAAAGGGTAATGTACCTGAAATTTTTGAAGGGCTTGGGAGCCAGAAACTTTCATGGAGGAGAGCTGAGAAGGTAGGGGTTTTGTGGATGTAGTATTGTGTTTCATTCCTGAGATCCGTGTGAAAACATTGCACAGCTGTCACTCGTAGTAGAACATTTACTCTCAAAGCTCAGGAGCACTTAATGGGGGCTGGCTTGTTCCGCCACCTGTTTAATGAGCTTCGAGTTGCATTTTGGTGGGTCAAAATTCAGGTGGTGCTCTTTTACCCTTTAAAAGTAAACGAACAGCAAAAGAGAAGGCAACAAAGATTACATTGCAGTAGAATAAATTTTCACACCCAAATGAGATTTTAATTACCAAAATCGACTGTTTTTTTTTTTAATTACCAAAATCGACCCGTTTTATGCCACGTAGGATTAATCATGTTTCCTAATTAGTCGGGGTTGGCAACCCCGACTGTTTAGGAGTTGTTAAACCCCAACTAATCAGGTTTTAAGGCTTCTAATTGGGGTTCAACAATTCCTAAACAGTCGGGGTTGCCAACCCCGACTAATTAGGAAACAGGATTAATCCTACGTGGCATAAAACGGGTCGATTTTGGTAATTAAAAAAAAAAAACAGTCGATTTTGGTAATTAAAATCTCATTTGGGTCTACAGTGAAAATTTATTCCATTGCAGTAAGGCAAAGATAAAGATATCACATATCTTTTTTGTTTGTTTGCTTGTTTGCTTGCGATGGAGCACCTAAGAATTTCTTGTTTATGGAGTGTAAAATAAGACCTTGGTCTGGTTGGATTAGGACAAATTTTCAAAACAGTCCTTTTTGGACTTTTAATCCAAAAAAAAGATTCATTTTTAACTTATTTTCATAAACCGCGGCCTGGTTTCAGCGCTGAAACCAGGTCGGTTTCTGAAAAAAAATTTCCGAAACTTCACGGGAGTTGAACTCCCGTGATAAACTTCACGGGAGTTCAACTCCCGTGAAGTTTCGGAAATTTTTTTTCAGAAACCGACCTGGTTTCAGCGCTGAGGCTGAAACCAGATCGGTTTCTGAAAATAAGTTCGAAATGGGTCTTTTTTGCGATTATTATTGTAAATGGGATCGTTTTGAAAATTCCTCCGGTTGGATTGTGTACCATTTGGGTTCATGCCGAAAGACCTTGATATAATCAGATTGACTCCAACTTAAAGAAGGGGATTTTTTTTTTCTTTAAGTGATAAAATCGGAGGGAGATCCCCGTGTTTTATTAAAAAATTTTAACGAAATATACAAATACAAAATATAATACGCTCCTCACAAAATATGAAAACCATACAGAAGGCCACGTGGGCAAAGTAAACAACGGGAAATTTTTTAACTGTTAGTTAAAAAAAAAAACTACGGAGACTGAAAAGAGACGAATCAAGCGTCGGAGCTCTTGTACTCTCCAACAGTGAATCTTACTCGTTTCACTCAGACAGCAACCGTGTAAACACTAGTCTAGTGTTCACATGTTTAATCATTAATTCATGCAAGGAAATGAAATTTATCACCCATCTAGCCATAAAGTATGCCACTGAAAGCAGAAATTATAGATTTTGAACATAAACAACGAACATAAGGATTTCTACGGTCACAGAGAACCGTACTCAGGTTTCAGATTTACTGAGCACAATCGTAGTCCTAAGAAGGTTGTACATATCAACAGCACAAATGGGGAGATACATGGGAGATCTTGCCGAGACAAAATTATATCTTGCCACGTGGACCTAGCTTGGGCGGCAGCTGAGGGCCTTTCTTGATGGGTAGTATGTCGCCTGAGGCGGTGGAGCTAAGGTAAGCAAGCGTGGAGCCTCCGCCGAGTATCAAAAATTTGAGCAGCAGACCTCTCTTGGTGAATGGAGCTGCGAACGTCTCGAAGAATTTGCTCTGGATTGGTTCCAGATAAAAGTCAGTAACTACCATTGTGCAAATTTAGCTGAGTTTTGGTATTTAGATAAACTAACCTGGCCTAAACAAGATAATGAGGTTAGTTTACAAAGAAAACAATCATATAAGACCAAACTAATCAAGCAAAACAGGAGCATCGAGCCTCTGAGAAGCTTGCTCTGCAATTTCTTTTTCCTCGAAACAATTTTACCGGTGAAAGATATAAAATAAGATCTTTAGCCTCTCTATGACAAATGTTTCATTAATTCTTGCAATAGATTATCCTCATAATCATGAGGATTGCATGCTAATTACTGCAATTCTGTTTTCTTATTTCCACATAATCAGAAGCTGCAGATATAGAGTTTTTAATGAAGCTTCCTTCGTTTGATGTATCATATGCACCCTCCTTAGTTTTATAGCTTTAAGTGAAAGGTGTCGACGTTCAGTGAGATTTAATTAATTGGTCAGAAATATTAGTAAACTATGGTCGGTGTCGTAGTATAGGTATCATTATAAGTATATCCTCTAATAAGTAAGCTCCAAAGAGTTTAAGGCAAACAGTTCAAATGACAAAAGATATTTTCCCGAGTAAATAACAAAATAACTATTAACTAGGCATATATACCTCGATACTACAAGAAAAGAAAGTATCGAACCAGGCTAGGGACATCGAAAAGATGTTGAACCCAGGAAAAATATATAACAAGGAATCAGGATTAGTGTCTCGGTACTAGATTGTACGCGGAGTTAATGAAGGTACTTCATTCTTCATTTGCTTTCTCAGAAATTCCGGATCATGATTGAATTGAATATCAAATGTAAGAGATCTATCAGGTAAAAAAAAAAAAAAAAAGAGGTATACATTTGACGAGCAGAATGCATTTTCACTGAACAGAAATGTAAGGGACGTCACTGAATATGGCTCAAAATCTACTCAGAATGAATTCAACCATTAGGCCCGCACAGATTTCCCAAAAGTTAAAAAAGAAAAAGTATAAAAGGTTCTATTTTAATATATGAGCAACCACATCAAATATTAAATGTCAAAATGGCTATTTATTTTGAATGTATGTTCAAGATTAAAAATGGAAAAAAAAAGATTTATACATATTGGAAGTTAACTAATTAATTAACCAGAGTGATGAATTCTCTTTCATCAATGTATGTAGATCTCCTATAGGACCCATGCATATTGGCTAGTAAATTTAACCAATCTAAATGAATAAACATGGCCAGTTGTGATTGATTAATAATCCCGAGATTAAGATAACCTGCAGTGGATTGTAGGGAGAAGGCGCGTCAGAACCATACAGATCCCACTGACCAGTTGTGTTGCCGATGTCCTCCAGATCAAAGTAGACGCTCTTGTCCCCATACTTAGCCACCACAGCACCAGAGGACCTTAACAAAAAAATAAATAAAAATAAAAACAATTCCAACAATGAGTCCTGCTCATAAATTTACAATCAGCCATCAAACAACGTGATGTAAAAAAAAAAATTTTTTTACCTGCTTTTAGAACTTGAGGAGATTCTTCGAGGGGAACGGACGTGGAGCTTGGTGCCGCGCAGGGAGCTGCCGCCGAGCCCCTTGATGCCCGCCGGTTGAGCAACAGCCACGGTAGCGGTCAGAGAGGCCATTGCTACTTCTTCGTTACTGATTTGCCTTTTGCCGATTGTTCTGTATCTTTATGATTTCGAACGTCTGGGTGGGATTTGTTGGCGAATGCGGGGCTGACATGTGGCAAATCGGTGATTTGGAACAATAGCCAATGAGAGATTGACAGTTGGTTACTGTGTGATAACCTTATCCTTTCTTCGGTGACTGTTCTCCTATGATATGGACGAGAGAGATTTGACACTTAAAATACTCTGTTTAAGCTCTACACACGTCCACGTAAGCATTCTACAATTTTGTCAAGAACAAAAGAGTTACCGGTATCGTAATTGATCTATGCCCTTGCTCTCTACGTCGCTGATCACACATAATTGAGATAAGAACTCGGCAGAATCAAGAAAATTTTCCGTGAAGTCTCAAGTAATTGTTACGACGAAATTTATTTCTGTTTATGGATGCAAGTGCTCTGAAACTCTCATCCTTACGACATTAGTCACTCTCAAAAGCCTCACAAGCTGCGAAACAAATGAAACTGAGCAGCTCAGCAACCAACAAATTGCAAACGATCGTACATGACTACGGATTCCCATATCCAGATCTACCACTGTGCCCCTCCAGGCTCCAGTAGGGCTAAAAGCAGTAAAATACGATATGCGTCACTCAATTGTTCCATTATTTTCTTTCAAGTCACAGTCAAGTTCCATTTATTACAAGCAAGAGAAATTTAACACAACAAAAATCGAGAAACCTCGACACTTTGTGCGATTGTAGGATACCAATGCACGTGAGCGACACTCCATGTCCATGTATATCAATTTATATCATCAGCTCATGCGAGTGACAGCTGCATGTATGGCGTCTGCAAGATGGGGAACAGTCCTTGAACTCAAACCTGCCATGCTTATCCTCCTGTATATCATCAATGGTTTCCGATTAATCTTCTGAAGACAGGTAGATTGTAAAAAGATTAAACAAATTTCAACAACATTGCCATAGATAGATAGAAGCCGGATGTCCGGATACCAAAGTCTTAATTCATAAGAAAATATTCAAGATGTGGGAAACCATATTAGCTAATTAATTGTTTGTCAAAAATGTAGATCAACCACTCTAAACAGCTGACGATACATTAGGCGGGCTGCAACATCAGAAAAAGAAACAAAAAGGAGGGAGAAAAAAAGGTATATGCTGACAAGTTACCATGCTGGAAGAGATGCAGACGTATTCAACAAATATAATTTGAGTCATGCCCTCATGCTTACCCATCAGAAGTCATGTAAATGTGATATTCCCTTGTCATGAATGCAACTTGCTCGGAATTAAGCCCTGTGAAAGTGAACATTCCGATCTGCTTGATTATGTGACTCCAGTCACCAGGTGTTCCTGCGTAAGCATAATGAAAAAGTGTTGTTACATTCATAAAGTGTGCAAAACAGTACAACATAAGATCACATCTCCCATCTGAATGCTAGACTGAGCTGCTGAAAACTGGCCATCCATCTAGTGCACTACTATATTAAGTTGTATATGGGTGCGAAAGGAATTAATCTGGAGTTAGGTTATCCGGACACTTCTGTGTCTTGACACTTCCCATATCCGTGTCTGTGTGGACACTCAGACACTCCTTGGACACTTCTTGGATATAGACATCAATTACATAGACGTGTCCTCAATTATACAACACAAATTTTAGTTTAAAATTAAAAAACCCACATACACTTCTTGAACGTATATTTTTACACTTCACCTCAAATTTATTCAACTTGTTGGACTTGGGACAGGTTCTTTTTTCACATACCTAGTTCATAAGTTTAAGGGTCGTTTGACTATGTAGTTAAAAAACGAGTGGTTTTTCAATTTATAATCTAGTCAATAAAAGAAACATAAAAATGATATAAGGATTTTAGTTATCATAACACGTGAATGGAAAACAATATTGATCTCATATACATTATTAAGTTTAATATGTACGTATATAGTCGTGTCCCTGTATCCTAACTTTTACAATTTTAACATGTCTTGTATCCCCACCCGTGTCCGTGACTGCACATGTATCCGTGCAACATAGATCTGGAGAATAGACATAGATGTTAAGGGATAATGATACAACAGATAAATAAGTGCACCACGCTGCATTTAACTATAGAACGAGTCTCAGTCTTAAGCTATCATGGATAAGCTACTGCAACAGGGATTCCATCTTTAAAATTAGCTATATAACGCTTTTGATTAGTGGCAACTTGAAAAACAGAAGTTGAAGCAAAGCCACCAGCTTATATGATCAATGACAATGTCAGATAAAGCTAAACCCTTAGGATAGCACATACTGTATAAACTATACAGACTTTCTTCAGGAGAAAAGGGTGGAAATGGAAGGAACTGGTCCGTGCAATGGTGGTCAGACACAATCTCTTAAAAAGTGTCACACCCGGGTCAACACAAATATTAACCAATAATAGGATTGAGACACGTGATAGTCGGCCACAAATCCTCTTGAGCACCCAAAACCAACACAAATATGAAGCAATTGTAACACTGATGCACATGACAGTCGGCCACAAATCATATTGATTTGTGGC